GCCTGTCCGCGCCGGCGTGCTCGAGCCTAGAGGGTCTCGCCACAGCAGACGCCAAAATGGGATCGTGGAGGGGGGAGGCTTGGAGGGGCGAAGGGTGATTTGTCCCTATCGGCAGTGGTGGGGCGCGACCGGCGACGTCGCGGACAGCCCTGCAGGGCCCTCGAGTTAGGACCCGTGGGCGGGGCTTAAACTAGTTGCCAGTGATGGGCGGGGCTGGCTCACGCTGTTCACTCCAAAAGAGCCGGGCTCCACCCTTTTTAAACAAAAGTCTAGGCCTGGGGTTCTCAACCTTCCTAATGCCGCGACCCTTTCATACAGTTCCTCATGCTGCGGTGACCGCCCAACCATCAAATTATTTTCCTTGCTACTTCTTACTAATTTTGCTACTGTTATGAATCGTCATGTAAACATCTGATATACAGGATGTATTTTCATGGTTACAAATTGAACATAATTAAAGCACAGCGATTAATCACAAAAACAATATGTAATTATACATTGTGAAATATTACTAATTACAAATAAATGAAATTTTGTCTTGAAGCATGATGTAGCATGGGTAACAAACAGTCTTAATATAACAGTAAACTACATTGTTACATTTTGCGACAGTATGCGGAAAACCAACGCTACTGGGAAGGTTGAGATGGCTTCTTTCTCACCAGATCAGCATATCTGCATGTGGGTGGACCCACCTGGAGACCATGGTTCCTAAGACCATTGGAAATAAGTGTTCTCCGATGGTCTTAGGCGACCCCTGTGAAAGGGTCCTTGACTCCCAAATGGGTCGCGACCCACAGGTTGGGAACCACTAGTCTAAGTGTCCAAGAGTACCCTGAAGATCCTCTAGAGGTGAATAACAAAGAAATGTACACCAGTAAAGCTCTGAAGTTAGATTGAGCTAAGGCAATGGTGTGTGTTTTGCTATAATCAAAAGATTGATGGTTAGAACCCACGCAGTTGCTCTTTAATAAGCTTGACAATCTGTATCCATAAAGGTTAAAGTCAAGAAAAGCCCATGAAGTCATTCTAGTCTCTAATACATTGGTGGCCCTGAGTTGGAATCAGCTTAAAGGAATGGGTTTGTTTGGC